TCATACAAGGATTTAATCTCATCTTGTATGGCTGCTAACCACTAACCTTTCTACTCATGACTAAGAACCTCTTCATACGACTCTGGTTCTGCTCGGTCAGTAAGCAACAAATACTCATGAGCACTGTACCTTGTGGAAGGTCTCTTGTTTCTGGTGGACCTCCTAGGCTGAATAGGAGGTGATGAAACCTGTGGTGTCTCTGTTTCAGTAGCAGGATCATCATCAAACTTACTATCCTGCTATGTATCAGCTCCCCTTCAGGAGAATCATCTGATTGTGAAGGAACTGGATCTAGATCAACAGGAATCTCAGGTGAAGATTCTGGCATCTCGCCCTTTCCCATATCATCAATGGTCTGGTCTTCAAAGAAGATCACATCTCTGCTTCTGAAAACTTTCTTCTCTACCGGATCCCAAAGTCTGTATCCAAAATCATCATTTCCATACCCCAAGAATACACACTGCTTGGATTTGCCACCAAGCTTTGACCTTTCGTCTTTGGGAATATGAACAGAGACACGACAACCAAAAAATTGCAAATGTCTAAATGAGACATCTTTCCCTATCCAAACTCTTTGTGGTAGATCACCATCCAACAGAACTGAGGGAGATAGGTTGATCAAATCAACTGCTGTCTGCATGGCTTCACCCCAAAAAGATTTAGGCAGCTTTGCATTCAAGAGCATACACCAAACCTTTTCGGTAATAGTTCTGTTCATACTTTCTACCACGCCATTCTGTTGCGGAGTCTTCGCAACACTCTTCCGACGTTTAATGCCATGGTCTCGACAATACTTCTCAAATGGACTCTTATACTCACCACCATTATCTGTTCGAACACACTTCAACTTCTTGTTAGTCTCTCTTTCAACTCTAAGGTGGAAGTCTTTAAACACATCAATTACCTGGTATTTAGATTTCAAAGAAAAACAACAAACCTTTCGAGCATAGTCATCAATGAAAGTAACAAAGTACAATGCACCACCTAGCGACCTTTCAAACATATTAAAAATAGGTAAATTATATGCACATCATAGAATATTAATATTCTTAACTTACTAGAGTTGGCAAAACATCCAATCAATCAGTGGATGTCAAAAATATTAAGTAAATAATTAATATGTGATTGAACCCATTTTCAATATAAAAAAAATTGTCAAACAAATATATATATACACACCTATATTACATGCAAGATTTCAGCATCTTCCCTTCAAGGATGCCTTTGGCAGATCATCTCCCCTAAAATAAACATATATATATATATATATATATATATCGCAGTAAAGTCAACTCAGTTTGCTGGTGATATAATCGGGTAGTTAGAAACATTAATCAAAGATTATTTTAATTCAATTCTTTGTGCGCATAAGTAACGTGTCTAATTAATTTTAATATTTTGTGCACATATCTCACCTGGCAGTTTGTCTCACCCAACTTTTGACGCAGTAAATGATTAATGATGCACAAATGAAGTGTCCAAATTTAGAGCAAGGAAAATATGACTATTTCGTTAATGACGAATTTATTGAGATTTGAATTGTGGTTAAGTAAGAAAACTTGATCTTACTTGACATTGATTGGAATTGTCGTACAAGTGAAGAAAGATAAATAAATAAAAACCTTTAGAAACACAAACTAAAACTACGGTTAAAAGTTGCAACCCTTATCATTCACCATCATTAGATCACCTACATTAAAACCCGTTCTTCTTGTAGACTAAGACACTATTGCATTCTAATAGCATATTTCTTTAGTACTTTGAAGTCTCAAATCACATGGATCATAATGACAACTTCACACAACTCGAACAGAGATCTTTTTTTTTTTACATGACAGATGGATTATAAGAACACACTAAGTTGACTACTTTAACAACATTTGAACATACCAAGAAATTGACAATAACTCTAATGCTATAAATAAAGCAAAGAAGAAGAAGAACAGGACTGGCTTTGAGGAAAGCAGAGTCACGTAGAGAGGGAATCGTCTTATGGATAGCTATTTGAGCCAAGGCTTGTTCTCCTCCTCCATGGGTGATAGCTTTATTGATTGAAGCATTTGCAGAAACCCAGATTAGTAAGCAAATAAACACTCAAAAATGTGTACTGAAAATGAGAGAATTCAGCTTCGTCATTTACTACTAATTATTTAATCGCTCTAGATGGGTATGATTAATTAAGTTAATGGAAGCCATACACTTATAGCAGTCTTAAAACAAATATGTCAGAAAAAAAGAGTATCTTATTAAAAAAATTTAAACGACTAGTAAGAATATTGCTGGGCCGGTATGATTGATTACTATAATGTATTTATTCCGTCTTGTCAATTAACATTTTCTTCAACCTTCAATGGTTCAAAAATTAGCCTCTACAACACTCATGTAAAAACTATCTCTATTTACTATATTCAATCAATCGCTTATATTTTTTCGGAAAAACAATCTTGCTGTTTTCCCTTCTTCTTCGTGGCCTCACAAGCAAAACGCAAGTCAGACGAAGTGGCTATAGATAACAATTAGGTTCGAGATAATATCGCTAGTTGTAGTATTCTTGTTTTATTAGAAGTAATGATCCCAACATTTAGCAAAATTTGCGTTTTAAAAATAATTGTTGCATACCAACCTACCAGAATATCAAATTACGAATAACTTAAAAGGTTTTAAGTTATTATAAAAAAATTACTTGTGTCTTTTTATTAAAACTAGCATACAACTTTTGCGTATCTTCTTTGGTCTCATTTATTTCTCTTCTTTTTCTTTTTCTTTTTTTTTTTCTGTTTTTTACAAAAAGTAGGCGCATTATTTGAAATGTGAACTAAAATGATATAATCATGTACGACAACTTGATAGTAACGCGCGATGTGGGACTGATGAGTTTTTAATGTGGAATTTTTGCAGGTATTAATAATTCATGAGATCAAATTATTATCGGAAAGCCATACCACATGAAACTTGATGGACTGGGCAAAGTAATCTTATATATTGGGACGGGAATCAAAACCAAATGAGTAATTTCTCTGCAATGTTTAAGTATAGTGGTTTGAAGCACATTTTTCCGAGGACTGAGTAAGTTTTCCTTTGATTTTGTTAAGTAATTAGGTTTCCCTCGATCGAGTACCTTTTCTCGGATTTTACTCGTCACATAAAAACATTTTATTCAAATTTCTTGACAGTTATATTGTCATTCAGTTCCGAGTTTTTTTAATAACATGTCTTTTTTACAAACTGTTGACTAATTTGTTTTTCTTTCATCATTAATTTTTTCTTTTGTTTTCATGTTTTCAACGTTGAAATTCCGAAGTGACCAATTTAGTTATTGTGCTTAAATAAACATTAGCATCATAACTTGTACTTTAACATTTGAGCTAAAAAGTCCAAACCGGTCATAACTTGTATGAAGTAAAAACTCACTTAGGAATTTTTCATATGGAAACTTCCCAAAATGATGAGTGGGGTCCTAACGTTGATAGTTACTATTTGCTACTATGAGGTTCAAATTTTATTTTTTAATGCAAACCTCTTCTGTTGATGACTAAAAATGTATTCCTAAATGTAAACTTTTACCTAACATTGTAAAATATTTTCGGTAAAACAAAATATAAATATTATTGTAATAGTAAATTCCATTATCATATTTATGGTACTCGATTTTCTTTACTGTAAATAAATAAGAATTAAGTATCTAGTACTTTATTAGCCCGGGCACTATTTAACAATAGAATATGTAGCTATGAAAAAAAAATTAATGATGAGCTTTCTAAAACGAATTTATAGATGGGAGAAATATAAATTATTGTAGATATTTTTGCTTTGAATCTAATTATTAGAAAATTAAATTTGAGAAAATAGTAATTACTCTAAGTAGTTTCAAGATTATGCCTAAACTTATGGAATTCCTTTATTCATAAGCTAAAACTACGTCGTATTTTTTCTGGAGTATGCGGGAAAATGTCTTTTATGGAGCTGCCACGTGGCTTTTAGGGCAGCTGCTCTCAATAAGTGTAGATATATCAAATATAAATGTGAACTCTATAATGATATGATTTATAGTAATTACAAGAAATGGGTGCAAATATTGATGAAATAACACTAATTAAGTTGGCAATTTGGTATAGATTTATTTAGTTATAAAAGGTTGTTTTTAGCAATTTCAAAACTTAACACAATTTTTAGACTAGAATACCTATTATGAAGATTTCGTTTTGCACCTTCTAACACAAAATTATGGCTCCGCCACTGCTTTCTAGTTTACGTTTTGATTCATGAATAACATCTTTTACAAGGCCCCTATTTTCATGTTGTACTAGGGCCCGAAAATCTTATGGCGGACCCCATTTGTAAGGCAATTTAAATTGTAATTACCGCATTATCTTAATAATTGGGGTGGTCAATGACAAGTCTTATACATTAAGGGGTAGAATTGGCTAGATGAAGTCTAAAAAATTAATTTGAGTACAAGGTGTTTGTGAAATCGCCCAAGTTAAAGTGATTGATTCGTTGCGGCCAAATCTCTTATTAGTTTTGTGTTAAGAAGTAATAAAATTGCGAGCGATTTGAGTCTTTGATTCGATTATATATTGTGTTGCCTTGTTTTATCTCAAGGTGTATCAAACCCGTTCGTGTTGCACGTTGTTAAGTGTTGTTTCCATAAAATTGTTCGTTTTCGTAAGAGGCAGCCTTCGGATGCGAAAAAACCTTTCCCTCTCTTCCTTTCATTTCAGATTTGCGGTCAATCTTGGAACGTCCGTAACCACAGTGATATATCCTTTAATTTGATCGGAGTAGAGTGCTTAATCGTTCAGTTGAACGAATTAAAATTGGATACATCATCATGAATTAGTACTTTCATTGTACTGAACCCAATTAAATCTAATCAAAGAGTGCTGATATTCCAACGAATTAAGACACATTTATTTAAGTGCTTGGTAGCACCAACATCAAATCACCTTGATTTATTTATTGGTCAATAACCACGCACGATCATGTGCGATCATTGAACACCTCACATTACAATTACAGGTACATCAAATTGGGAATAAAAATTGCCATAAAATGGCCTTAAACACGGCATTGTTGGGGGCCCATGTTGCATTGCTGAGGAAGGAACCGAGCCTTCATCCTCATCTGTTCCATCATCTGTCCACCCTGTCCCTGCCACCCGCCCTGCCCTTGCTGCTGCTGCGAACACGCCATCCCAAAAGCCGCCCTGACGGCCTCACATCGGCACTGCTCGTTGAAGTTCCGGAGGGTCATGCAGCATTGCCGGAGGTGGGGCTGCATCATCTGCGGACCGCTTTGCCCAACCACCTCTTCGATCCCGGCGGCATCTTCCGTCATCATCATGCCTGAAGACAGGTAGCGCTGGCAGTGGCGGATCTGCTGCATCTGCTGCTGGATTTGCTGTTGGCACATCTGCATCGGCCTCTGTCCGCCTTGGTTCACGTCATCCTCGTCCACTGTGGTGGTTATGGTGAACCTGTTGGCCTGAGCGACGGCCAACAGGGTTACAAATAATGCTGTGAAAACCGCTAACTTCGCCATTACTATATACTTAACTCTGCTGATTGCTACGTATGGAATCAAATCTAAGAGATTGTATATGATTTTTCTGTGCGGGATGAGGGATTTAGCAGAGGGAGGAGAGTGAATTTATAGGAGAAGAGATCCTTTGCATGACTACAACGTGGTTGAGGTCGATGAAATGAGGTGTTGCGGTATTAGCAAGATCAAGTTACACGTTGCTACTTCCATGCAAAATGATGCCAATGCCATTTTAAATGTGATATCCCCAACTAATTTCTTTAAATGTTTACGGCGGACTGGTGGATTTAGATTACTTCAATACTGTTCATAATAAAAAATATTATGGAAAATTTTGTCATTGTGACATTTTTCTTTTTTCAATAAACTAAGCATATACGGACTATGCTGTTGAAATTAATTAATCGTGTGACAACAATCGCAGAAACTATTCAATCTTCTTAGCTCTGATAAAGAACCGCCTGTATTTGGGTAAGCAAGTCATTCATCTACAAAACGTAGACGAAGGCCTTATGTTCAAGTATATTTTACTTAATCAATAGGTCAATTCCGAATTCCAATTGATAGGGTAAACTTTTGGAGTGCATCATATCATATCATAGGTTCACGATAAACATGGAAAGTGTGGCACTGACAAGAAAATCCAATTTAATCGACCGTATAATTAACATATGTACTTTTTCAACAAAAAAAAAAAATTAACATATGTAATGGGAGAAAAATCACAGATATACTAACGTAAACATGACAAAAATTCTTTTTTGTTTCAGTACGAGGATGTGACGGGCCTTCTAAATAATTATAAATTGCGACGGACCTTCTATTTAAGAGACTTTCATGCAGTATTTTATGTAAACCTTTTGTTTTAAAAAGATTAATAAAAAGAACAATGGAAACGCCCCCCTGGATTCGTTTAAAAATTAAGTTTTCCAAAAATGAAATTCTTAAGTTTACTATTTTTTTAGCCTGCTGTTTTGCATATAGAACGCCCGATCCAAAACATAATGGTAACAAGGTCCAAATTTCGATAACCAAAAAGTGGTAACAAAATACCGCTCAAGCAATCATTTTGTCATCATTATTGTCAACTGTTTATCACTTTATTGCACTTACACTAACCAAAATGCAAGATTTATCGAAATGATTTACTCAGGGTCCAATTATTTTCATCAATAACACCTCCAAACTTTACACCTGTAAAACAATACTAGCTAACAAAAACGCAGTTGGATGAACTGTTTGTTGTGTGTTTTCTTCTAATAGAGTTTGCATTCATAAAATTAAAAAGAAAATGGATCAGATGGCATCCTATGCATGGTCTCCATGGCTTTATCGGAACAGCCACATTTCATAAAATTGTTTTTAATTTGTAGTATCCATTAATTTCTCCCTGAACATACATAGTGTGTGCGACACCAAATCAGAATATGGTCAAGTGGAACAAAGTTGGCATAATTATTCCATAGTGGAAACACAAAAGGTGTGTGTCAAGTGCTGAAAATGAACATAATCTCTTCATTTAGGGAATCTGTTTCAGCGTTGACATATATCAAATATTAAAGGGCAGATGGTAGATGCGAGTGCGACTACCCTAGTGGTCGTTTTCACCTTTTCACTCTTCCCCAATAGCCACCATACTATACGATCAAACTGAAGTCTGGAGTGGACCGAAAAAGAGGAAAAGTCCTTTTGTTCTCGGGTTAGTGATGCGTAATAAAATTGGGGTTTGGGTTAAATCTTCTGGTCCTGCGATTCATGAGAAGCTAGGAATCTCCGGCCATAACATGTATTCTGAGTTTAGTTGGATTGCTAACATCCTTAAAGCTTGCTTGAGTTTCTTGCTACACTTATTTTACATAACGCCTTGTTGGCCTCATCCAAAATGAAATCATCAATTCAATATGAGGCCTTCCCCGGAATTAATCGGACGGCCGATGCCTCCGGGTTCCCCTTTGTCTTAAACGTTTTCCAAGACATTGCCGGAACCAGGACCCGTTACAATCTGTTGTTCCCCATCGATCACCACCTCCAGTTTCTTCTACTGTACCAGGCGCCGAATGCATCTGTCCTATAATCATCTGGATCCCGAGGGCCGAGACAGGAACAATCTCAAGGGTCAAGATTGATGTTCGGGGTTTATCATCAAAGCCAATATTTAAGGAGATGCCTTAAACTCAAATATTCAATAGAGAGGATAATTGAGACCATGTTTAGTGTCAGTTTTTGTATATGGGAATAGCTTTCCATCTGAATAGTCAATGGCCAAGTTCATCATTGACTGAACTCTTTTTAACGTTTTTAAAAGGGAGATACATTTAGTTATAGTTACATATGCTTACTTGTGTAAACAATAAGTATCAACAACTGAACATTTTCCTCTCACAAATGCCTACCACAGGTATCCTCTTGGAATGAATTTCAGAAGAAAATAAATTTCCACATATGTTGAGTATATATTATTATTATTATTATTATTATTATTATTATTATTATTATTATTATTATTATCACTCTCTCAAAAATGATTGCTCAGTTTGGATTTTTATATTTAATTTACATTTTACTAAAAATAAAACTTTAAACTGGACAATCATTTTACGAATGATGGACCATCATATATTTAATTGGTCCTTGGTGTATCAATCGAAAATCCCAGTAGAAATGAACGGTTGTTTATAATATTTATTCGACCCCTCTCCCCGTCTGATTCTCATCCGGTAAGGCAAACAAAACAGGTGTAACCCGCGTGTAGGCTTAATTTCCTCCAAATAGTTAGGGCTTGTTTGGCCAACATTTTGTTTTAGTTTTTTGTTTTAGTTTTTTATGTGGATTTGAGATGTGATTTAAAATGTGATTTTAGATAAAATTTAAAAATTTGTTTGAGTAATATTTTAAATAAAATATTAATATTTTTAGACCATCACCGGACCACCTCCACCACCGACGCCGCCACCAGACCGCCCACCACCACCGCCAGAATTTGGCAGGCATCCGGCCGGCCGCCGTCGATCCGGCGGCGGGCAAGGGGCGGTCAGGCAGTGGCGGGTGGTGGTGGACAAAAATTGTATAAAACTAATTTTTGGAATATTTTCTAAAAGGTAAATTAAAAAGTTGTTTGCATAATATTGGGATTTGTATTTGATATGTGTTTTAAGAGGCAAAATTAGACAAAAAGTTAAAACAAGTGTTGGACAAACAAAACCTTAGATATTCTTATAGTACTCTTTGGAACAAGAACTACTCTATATGTGAAACTATTTAAAGTTTAAATCACCGGCGAGTTGGTTAGTACTAATTGTTTGCTTTGAGATAAATAATTGTAGGCATGTGCAGCTCTAGATGGTGCTTTCATAAACCTAGTGTAGTGTAGCCGCGTGATTTACTAATCTTGTGAAGTGCATCAGTCTAAACACTAATAACTCATTCTTCCTTCCCGCCGTTGTTTGTTAGATCATTATTGACTTATTTAAGCTCCGGGACTTGTCGTAGTGGAATATGTTCAGAACCATAAATATTTGAAACCCAAAAGGGCATACCAAAATAGTACAATGAATTACATATTCTTCCCAATTTCTTCGTAAAAGAAATCTGTTCTCATGGTTGATAGTATTCAAAATGGTGCTAATTAATTTAACCGATGCGAGGTCCTATTTAAGACCACAAGTTCACTTCTTTAGAATACCATGGATACAAGCATATTAGCGATACATTATTATGCTATATGGGGGAAGCATTTATTCGGATTCCTTAGGTGGATCTCAACTCAAGATCGATGAGATTTATAATTCTTTTCTAAAAAATTGTGCTTTAGAGATTTTTATGTACGTAGTAGTAGTATTGATAAAAGATAAGTTTTGATTGGTGTTCAAAAAAGGATTAAAACATCATTAAAAAGGATTAAAACATCATTAACAAACCATTAATATTAAGTCATGCCTACAATAGGAATTATGAAAAAATTACGCCCTATTTAGGAATTTCAATTCTTTGTAACGTATTAAAGACTATAAGGGTGGTTCCGTAGTTTTCCTCAAAACACGAGGGGAATTTTCTTAATTGATCGTTATTAAAAATGGACATATGGCAAAACACCACATTTTGTGAAGCCCTGTCTCCTCCAGCCGCCAGCCTCCAGACTTACATATGTATGTCCAAGCATGTTTATCCGTCTCCCTATCATTTTGTTTTTAGTAAAATGAAAAAGGTCAAAGTCTAGTGACAAAAAATTGAAACATTATGGGGATAACAAATCTCAACCATATCATGTTCCAGCCACTGTATGACTTCAGATGATGGAATATATCCGTCTCCCTCTGTCTAATTCTCCCCTATTGCTATCAATCAGTACTGCTTTTCCTCCGAGTACCAAAGACTAATTTAGAAGTCTGAAATGTAAAGGAGAGAAGGAAAGTTTCCTTTTTGGCTTGGTGCATGTATCATGAAATTAGAGTTAATTGGTTGCATTTCATGGCGTAAGCTGTCTTGAGTTCCTAGGTAGAGTTATTTTATGCGGATCCTCCATATATATTATCAGAGAACTTTGAGGAGGAGGCTGCATCTGGATTTCAAACTCTCGGAGTTTTACCTCAAGAGTTCTGATCATAGCCTCATCATAGGCATTAGGCAACCCTTTAATTTAATTCCTTGAAGAAATCATCATTTTACTCTTTTTGTTGTACTCTTCTTATTTGGTTCAGTGTCTGCATTAAAGGCGAAGCATTTGCAGATGAAATTTCGGGGATGTTGCTGCCGCCTCAAGATCTATAAAAAGGCAGCTCAAGCTTCAATTTTAGGAGGCCGAGCGGGTGCAAACCAAGGTAAAGGGGGACAGCCGTTAGGCGTTCCATTGAAGACGTCCGTGTCTCGTGTGTGTTAGTATATTTTGTTTTTGTATTTCTTTGTTTCGTATCATATGAATAATCTTAGTTATGTGTTTAGATTAATTATATTATTAGGATTTTGAAGTAACCTTTAAGTCTTTATACATTTATAATATGAGATTGTTGGATTTTCTATTCAATAATATTTGTTATTTTCGATTTTCATCCATGTGAAGTAATTGGCCAGTGTTTTCATGTCTAAGGTGTTAATTTATGGAGCGAGAGTTGAAGATTAACACAAGTTCGTGGAAATAATAGACTTAGGGAGTGTGCTATGAGAGTAAGACCACCTAACTTTGCAA